AATTTCAGCTGTTTTGTTTGGAGTAGGATTATGCAAAGGTCACTATATGCAAGCTTCTACTGCCTTGAATAGATGGCAATGAGGAGATAAGGGGACAGACTAAGGGACGTTTTTTCTAAAAGTGCTTTAACATAGAATGCCTTGAGATCTTTAATGCTTTGCTAGGGCAGACTATTTGCAGCTGATAATGGAGATCTGCCAGCACAGTACAAAAATAGGCAATTAGGACAAACACAATTACCCAGCCTTCTCATAAAGGAGGGAAAACCAAATAGCATTTTTCAGTCCTGGTGTTTTCAGCAAAGGGCGTCTAATAAGGTAAACCACAATGTTTAAAGTGACACTAAACTCAGGAGTTGAATCTTAAAACTGCATTCAAGTACCTTTAACTATTAATAAAAATGTACCTTGTTTATCACTCGGCTGTAGATCCTAAAATCATCTCTGAATTGGTGGTGACACTGTCCTTCCTTCTGGAGGGTGGCTACTTTTGTTCCCCATGGTCCCTGTGTGTGTTGTAAAGTAGTCACCACTCCAAGCTCACTCCTGTGATGGATACAATCTCACGTTTTGCTTACTGATTTGTTTTGAGATTGTAGTCCATCACAGGAGTGAGCTTAGAGTGGTGACTACTTTAAAACACACACAGGGACCATGGGGAACAGAAGTAGCCACCCTCCAGAAGGAAGGGCAGTGTCAGCACCAATTCAGAGATGATTTGAGGATCTACAGCTGAGTGATACACAAATAAGGTACAGTTTTGTATATAGTTAAGATACTTGAATGTATGTTTAAAATTTTACTCCTGAGTTTAGTGCCACTTTAAGTGTTTTTTCTAAGTTATGCTATATGAGTGGGAACATGTAACAAATATAAAGATGTTATCCCAATATGGCTGTAAAAGTGGAAATATACTTTAAGATCCTCCCTAACTTGTACTTTTATTATTTAAACAAGTGGCACGGAGTAATAGGTGAGAACACTGTTGCATGAATAGATTTCAGGAAAGTTAGCATTAAAAAATGTGGTGTGTGTGTTACAGTAAATTTACCTAATAGTTATTTCTGTGAAACTACTGTTTGGGAAAACAATGTTTAGCCAACATTTTTTAAAGAAACCTAATCAGTATATTTGATGAGCTTGTTCCAGCATAAAGGGGGCTAAAAGTAACAAACAATGCCATCATGTCCATGGCCAGCTTTTATTGTTTTCTTGCAGTAATGTGAATCTATTGTGTATGACCAGTATAACCAGTAGAGAATGTTCAATCAGTTTCAGAAATGCACAGCATGATATAGTCTTTAAACCCTACACATAAGCCATCAGATCGTAAGTGTGTTCTTCAGCATGTTTACAACAGAAAAGAGACAGGGCAGCAACTTCTCTGTTAAACAATGATGAAACTTCCTCCTCTGTTATCCGCCCTGGAAATATTTGGGAGGCCATGGCTGGTAACGAGCTACATTCCTAAGAAACTGAAACTCATCCGGATCCTTAGACCAAGCCGCTTACACCAGCAGCTCTGTTTTAACTACATAAATAAACAGGCGTCTACAGAGACTGCAATCTCAGAAGTTCAGATTCTTAACTTAGATTGACACTTGTATACAAGCAAATAGTACATCAGAATGAAATGCTATACATTAATAAAAGAACAGAAATGCACAAATGTACTAATTGTATGCAACAAACTGCTCTGCAAGTTGGTATATGTGACACTTAAAGGAGGTTTTTATGGACAACAATGAACTCTCATCTTAAAATCTATAGCTGGTGCATTATTATTGACTACAATATGTTCATAATCTGTTCGTGACCTCTGTTCTCAAATTGATGTTAAATTCAGGGTGCTACAATGAAATGAATGTTGCTGTTCATATCACAAAGGGACTGGCAGAGGATACATCTCAAGAGATGTTCACTATGCTGGAAGATCCCATCATCTCACTCCGTAGTTGGTCAAAGTGAAATTCACACTATGCAGCTGTTGCCATTGATGTCTGAATTGGCCAAGTCAAAAGCAAAAAATTGTACAGTATATGACAGATGTAGAGATGGCCAAAACAACACTTTATGAGAAACTCTTATAGCTGTTGGCCAATTATATATATATATA